GTCGCGAACCATTTCAACTCCCCCTCCCATTCCTCAGACGACATGTCCATCCTGGGCCTCCTGCAGTGCCACAACGATGCCACCCGAAGGTTGCAGGAACAGCAACTCATATTCCGCTTGGGAACCCTGCAGCCCAATGGTATCAATGTGGATTTCACAAGTTTCAAAATCTCCCCTCCCCCCACCGCATCCCAAAACCAGTCCAACTCGTCCCTGCCTCCCTAACCTGTTCTTCCTCCCACCTATCCCCTCCTCCCACCTCAAGCCGCACCTCCATCTCCTACCGACCAACCTCATCCCGCCCCCTTGACCTGTCCGTCCTCCCTGGACTGACCTATCCCCTTCCTAACTCCCTACCTACACTCACCTTTCCTGGCCCCATCCCCGCCTCTTCGACCTGTTTGTTTCCTCTCCACCTATCCTCTCCTCTATCCCTCTTCTATCCGCCTCCCACTCTCTCCCTATTTATTTCAAAACCCCCTTCCCCTCCCCCTTTTCTGATGAAGGGTCGAGGCCCGAAACGTCAGCCTCTCTGCTCCTATGATGCTGCTTGGCCTGCTGTGTTCATCCAGCCCTGCACCTTGTTGTCTCGGATTCTCCAGCATCTGCAGTTCCTACTATCTCTGATTGATATGATGCAGAGCTGGGCTGAGAAGTGGCAGATGGAGTTTAACCCTGAAAAGTGTGAGGTGATTCATTTTGGAAGGACAAACTTGAAAGCAGAATACAGGGTTAACAGAAAGATTCATGGCCGTGTGGAGGAGCAGAGGGATCTTGGGGTTCATGTCCACAGTTCCCTGAAAGCTGCCACCCAGGTGGATAGAGTTGTTAAGAAGACGTATGGTGTGTTAGCTTTCATTAATAGAGGGATTGAGTTCAAGAGCCGTGAAGTTATGCTCCAGCTACACAAAAGCCTGGTTCGGCCACATCTGGAGTATTGTGTCCAGTTCTGGTCACCTCATTACAGGAAAGATGTGGAAGCGTTGGAAAAGGTGCAGAGGAGATTTACCAGGATGTTGCCTGGAGTGGAGGGAAGGTCTTACGAGGAAAGGTTGAGAGAGCTGGGGCTTTCCTCTTTAGAACGACGAAGGATGAGAGGTGACTTGATAGAGGTGTACAAAATGATCAGAGGTATAGATAGAGTAGACAGCCAGAGACTTTTTCCTCGGGTGGAGGTAGCTTTTACGAGGGGACATAGTTTTAAAGTGAAAGGAGGTAGATATCGGGGAGACGTCAGAGGTAGGTTCTTTGCTCAGAGAATGGTAGGGGCGTGGAATGCATTGCCGGAGAGGGTAGAGGAGTCAGCCTCATTAGGGGCATTTAAGCGGCTATTAGACAGGCATATGGATGATAGTGTAAGGTAGCGGTGGAGGTTAGATAGACCTTAGGTTTCGGGTAAAAGTTTGGCACAACATGGTGGGCCGAAGGGCCTGTACTGTGCCGTACTGTTCTATGTTATATGTTCTATATTCTCTCTCTCTCTCTCCCTCACACACACTCTCTCTCAAACACTCACTCTTTCTCTCACTCTCAACCGTCACAGACTGACATTCTCACTCTCCCTCTCTCGCACTCACTCACTCTCTCTCTCACTCTCTCTCTCTCTCAGCCATCACAGACTCACATTCTTATACTCTCTCCCTCTCTCACTGTCACACACTCTCTCTCTCTCACTCTCTCTCTCTCTCTCCTCTCTCATTCTCAGGCATCACAGACTCACATTCTGTCTCTCTATTTCTTTCTCTCTCTCTCTGGTTCAGGACACTTTCCTGTTGCACACGCCTGGAGGGGGAGGTTGGGGCTGGGATGAAGATGTGACAGCCAATTTTGAAGATTTGCCAAGATCGGGGCCAGCGAATCAGAAGGCCGGAGTCTGTTTTCCCGAACGGGGAAGTGTGTTCGAACATAGACTGTCCCAAGAGTCAGTGTGAACAAGATCAACCTGAGACTCCAGCAAAATACCCTTCCTCTGCCATTCAAATTTCGGGATACTTCAATAGAACGTGGGGGACAGAGGGAGACTGATTCCCCTTCTTCACCCTTCAGGTCCCCAGACAGCAAATGCCAGAAACAGGGATAGCCCTACGTGTCTGTGGGAACTCTCTTTCCCGTCCATCCCTCCCTCCAGCTCTCACTGACCTGACTACACACAATAAGGACAACTGCCTCAGAACATTCTGAAGCACTTTACAGCCAATCGCAATTCTTCTCAAGTCTTGTCATTGCTGCAATATAGGAAACTCGGCAGCTAATTTGTGCACAACAAGATCCCACAAATGAAAACGAGATGAATGACCAGAATTCTCCTTTTTTTTTCCCGTTGAGGGATAAAGGTTGTCTCATGACGCTGAGACGAACTCCAACCACTCCAGCAAAATATTGCGGATGCTGGAAATCTGAAATAAAAAAACAGAAATTGCTGATAACACTCGTCAGACGTAGACATAGGAGTGGAAGGAGGCCATTCAGCCCATCGAGTTTGCTCTGCCATTCAGTGAGATCATGGCTGATCTGATAATCCTCAACTCCACTTTCCTGCCCTTTTCCCAGAACCACTAATTCCCTCACTGTATTAAAACATGTGTCAATCTCAACAGTAAAAAAATTTTAAATATTGCACAGAATCACTACCTTCTGAAAGAAGAAATTCCTCCTCACCTCTGTCTTAATTGAGCAACCCCTTATTCTGTAATGATGGCCTCAGGTCCTAGGCTCTCCCATGAGGGAAAACAACCTCTCCACATCTATCTTGTCAAGTCCCCTAAAAATCTTGTACGCGTCATTCATCCAATCTCCAATGAGCACAGACCCAACCTACTCAACGTCTCCTCATATGACAGTCCATCCCGACTGCTGACTGAACCTTCTCTGGATGCCTCCTATGGCAGAATATCTTTTCTTCGATAAGGGAGCCAAAACTCTTCACAGTATTCCAGCTGTGGTCCAACTAGTGCCTTGAACAGATTTAGCAAAACCTCCCTATTTTTATACTCCGTGCCCTTTTCAAACTAAAGGCCAAAATTCCATTTGCCTTCGCCATCACCCACTGAACTTGTACGCTAACTTCCTCTAATTCATGCATGAAGACTCCTAAATCCTTCTGTTCTGTAGCTTTCTGCAGTCTTTCTCCATTCAAATAATATTCAGCTCCTCTACTCTTCCTGCCAAAAGGTGTAACCACACTTTACCCCACATTATTTTTCATCTGCCAAGTTTTTTCCCATTCGCTTAACCTGTCTATATCCCTCAGCAGACACTGCATGTCATCCCCACCACTTGCCTTCCCACCTATTTTTGTGTCATCCACAAACTTGGCGATAGTACATTCACTTTCCTCAAGTTAAGTCATTCATATATTGCGACGAACAAGCGTGGCTAGGGAGACAAAATGAATGGTTCAGGTCAGTGATCCTTCAGAATATTAGGAAGGCTAGAAATGTAAAAGTAGGGTTTGAGAAAATAGTGGGGGTGGCTGAGTGAGGGATGCGGTAGAAGGAGCACTAAAGGGAAGATCTGCTGTGGGGCAGCGGGGGGGATCAGGAGAATCAATGGGTTCAAGGTGCAAAGGTCAAATGGAAGGTTAATGGGTAGAGTAAAGGACGGAAAAATCCAGACAGGGGGCATTAGGAAGCAGGGCAAAGGAAAAAGGAGAATTTAAAACTGAAGTTTTTGTGAAAAAAAAACAAGTGTACAAAACAAAATGGAGGCCGATGTTCCAGTCTAAAATCAATGTCAAGATCAGATGGCTGCAGAGTTTTAAGTCTGAAGAGAAGAAGAAGGCCATTCAGCCCCTTGAGCGTGATCCTCAATCTTAACACTACTTCCTCACTGTATCTCTATATCCTTTGATTCCCAGAGTGGCCAAAAATCTGTCAACCTCTGTCTGGAATATACCAATTGAACATTCTGGGGTTCAGAATTTCAAAGATTCACGAGAAATGAGAATAGGACCAGTTCTTTCAATCCCTCCAGCCTGTTCCACCATTCAAGATGGTCCTGCCTGATCTGATTGTAACCCCAAATCTACATTCCCATCAATTCCGTCATAACTTTGCACCCCCATGTTTATCAAGAATCTGTCTACTTTTCCTTTAAAAAATGCAAGGACTCTGTTTCCACTTCTGAAAGACTCACGATGATGGAAGAGAATTTTCTTGTCTTATTACCTTCTAAATGGGCAATCTCTGATTTTTAAACAGTGGCCCTTAGTTCTAGATTCTCTAGGCAAACGAGAAGACCAACAGATCTGAGAAGTGAGAGCATTTAGAATTCAGCAAAAGGACGACAAAAGGGATTGGTTAAGAAAAGGAAAATAGAGCACGAGAGTAAGCTTGTGGGGAACTTACAAACTGACTGTCAAAGTTTCTGTAGGTGTGTGAAAACAAAAAGATGGGTAGAGACAAATTAAGTCCCCTACAGTCAGAAACAGGGCAATTTATAAAAGCGACAAAGAAACAGCTGATCAACTAAATGCATAATTTGGTTCTCTGTTCACAATAACATACTAGAAATGTTGGGGGACACAGGTTTTACTAAGAGACAAGAACCGAGGCAAATCTGTATTAGTAGAGAAATGATGTTTTGGAAATTGATGCGACTGAAGGCTGATAAATCTCTAGGGCCTGCCAATCTCCATCCCAGTGTACTTCAGGAAGTGGCCCTTGAAGTAGTGGACAGATTAGTCATCTCTCAAGATTCTATAAGATCTTGACATTCTTTAAGTTCCTACAGATTGGAGAGAGTTGGAAGTCACACAATACCAGGTTATAGTCCAACAGGTTTATTTGAAATCACAAGCTTTCGAAGCACTGCTCCTCAATTGTATTTTCTTTTACTGCACTGGACAAAATTTGATTGAAGTAACAATTTGCGTTAGAATGACATTTCTTTGTACGTTTACAAGCCTGAGGCAAGTTGACTTCTGACTTTGTCCATCCCAGTCCAGCAACAGCACCCCCACAACATACAGATTGGAGGGTAGCTAATGTAACCCCTCTATATTAAAATGGAGGTAGAGATACAACGGAGAATTATAGACCAGTCAGCCTTACATTGGTAGTGGGAAAATGCTAGAGTCCACGATAAAAGAATTAATAGCTGAGCACTTAGAAAACAGTGGCAGGATTGGACAGAGTCAGCATGGATTTCCAAAAGGGAATCATGCTTCACAAATCAACTTGAATTCTTTGAAAATACAACTAGTAGAGTTGATGAGGGGAGCCCATGGATGTGGTTTACTTGGACTTTCAGAAGGCTTTTGACGAAGTCCCACAGAAGAGATTAATGTGTAAATTTACAGAGTGTGGGATTGGAGGTAATGAATTAAGATGGGTATAGAATGGGTTGGCAGACAGGAAACAAAGAGTAGGAATAAACGGGACTTTTTCTGAATCGCAGCCAGTAATGAGTGTGGATGGATCAGTGCTTGAATCCCAGCTGTTCACAATATACATTAATGATGTGGATGAGAGAACTAAATGTAGTATCTCCACGTTAGCAAATGACACAAAAGTTGGGTGGGAGGGTGAGCTGTGAGGAGCATACGGAGATGCTTCACTGTGATTTGGACAGGCTGAGTGAGTGGGTAAGTGCATGGCAGATGCAGAATAATGAGGGTAAATGTGAGGTTATCAATTTTGCTAGCAAAAACAGGAAGCAGATTATTAATGTGAATGGCTATAGAGAGAGGGGAGTGCGCAGTGGGACCTGGGTGTCCTTGTGCACCAGTCGCTGAAGATAAGCATGCAGGTACAGCAGGTGGTAAAGAAGGTAAATGGTATGTTGGCCTTCATTGCGAGAGGTTTCGAGTACAGGAGCAGGGATGTGTTGTTGCAGTTATACAGGGCCTTGGTGAGACCACATCGAGAATATTGTGTGCAGTTTTGGTCAACTTATTTGAGGGAGGATGTTCTTGCCATAAAGGGAGTGCAGTGAAGGTTTACCACCCTGATTCTGGGGATGGCAGGACTGATGTATGAAAAGAGGTTAAATTAGTTAGGATTGTATTCCCTGGAGTTTAGAAGAATTGGTGTGGGGCTGGGTGGGGGGTGTGAGGGAGTTTTTGAAAATCTCAAGGAAATCTATAAAATTCTAACAGGATTAGACAGGGTAGACACAGGAAGGATGCTCCTGATGATGGAGGGCTCCAGAACCAAGCATCACAGTTTAAGGATGGTGGGCAAACAATTTAAGACTGAAACAGGCAGAAATGTCTTCACCCAGAGAGTGGTGATCCTGTGGAATGCGGTACTGCAAAAAAGCAGTTGAGGGCAAAACATTGTACGATTTCAAGAAGGAGTTGGATAAAGCACTTGGAGCTAAGGGGCTTAAGTGATATGGGGGAATAGTAAAAGCAGGGAATTGAGTTGGATGATCAACCATGATCATATTGAATGTTGGAACAGGCTCACAGAGTTGGAAGGCCTACCCCTTCTCCTATTTCCTATAATTTCTCTGACCCCTCAGCATTTTATATTTCAATCAAGTTATCTCTTACTCTTCTAAACTTCACAGATACAAGCCTAGCCTGTTCAACCATTCCTCATAGGACAACCTGCCCATTTCAAGTATTAGTTGAATAAACCTCCTGTGAGCTGCTTCCAAAGCATTTACGCCCTTCCTTAAATAAGGTAACTAATACAGTGTGCAGAACTTCAGATGTGGTCTCTCTTTTTGACTCCTCTTGTAGATTGAGAGTCTGTTTAATTCAGCCTTGAAGATATTCACTGGCCCAGTTTTGATTATTTTGTGGGGAAGATCATTCCAAACACTAACAAACCACTGGGTGAAGAAATTTGTCCTCATTTTCATCTTAAATAATCTTTCGCCTTATTTTGAAAATGTGCCGACTAGTTCTAGACTCCCCCAAAAGGAGAAACATCCTCTCAGTATTCTCTCTGTGAGGGCACCTCAAGTGTAGTCTTTCCAATCCCCTTTAGAGTAGTTGCAAGACTTCCCTACTTTTATACTCCATCCTCCTTGCAAAAGAAGCCACAAGACGTAGGAGCAGAAGTAGGCCTTTCAGCCCATTGGGTCTGCTGCACCATTCAATGAGATGACGGCTGATCTGATAATCCTCAGCTCCACTTTCCTGCCTTTTCCCTCAAATCCATGATTCCCTTCCTGATTAATGATCTGCCTGTCTCAGTCTTAAATGTACTTAATGATCCAACCTCGACCAGCCCTCTGCAGTAAACAATTCCACAGATTCATCACTGCCTGAGAGAAGAAATTCCTCCTTATCTCTGTCGTAATTGGATGAACACTTACTCCATTTGGCTTCCCAAACACGTGGTAACCATCTGTGATTCGAGTACGAGGACAGCCAAAGTCCCCTTTACCACTATTTCTGTAGGCTGTCACCATTTTAAACATAATTCTGTTTGTGTCTTTACGTTCCTTCTACCATAGAGGACAAGCTGACAGTTTCTCACATTACACCCCACCCTACCAAATATTTGCTCACTCATTTAGCCAATCAATATCCCTTTGCAAATCCTATTCCCAACTTGTTTTCCTACCTACCTTTATGTCACCATTAAACTTGGCTACAATCGTCAGTCTCTCCGTGTCACTTATATAGACCGTAAATAGTTGAGCCTCCAGCACAGATTCTAGCCCGACTTACATTTTGCCATCCTGAATAATGACCCATTTTTTCCTACTCTATTTTCTGTGAATTAGCCAGTCCCCTATCCACATCAATACCCTGAGTTCCTATCAAGGCACCTTACCAAATGTCTTTTGGAAATCACCACATTTTATGATCCTACTTGATATTACCCTGCTTGTTACCTCCTCAAAGAATTCTGTTGAATACAGTATCCCTTTCACAAAGCCATGTTAACTCTGCATGATGATATTTTGATTTTCTAAATGATTTGCTTAATGACAGATTGTAGCAATTTTCCAGTTACAGATGTCAGATTAACTGGCCAGTAGTTTGCTGCTTTCTGTCTCTTTCCATTCTAGGTAGAGGTGTTAAATTTTTCATTTTTCCAATCCATTGGGACCTGTCTAGAATGTAGGGAATTTTGGAAAATGACAACCGATGCGTCCAATATTTCTGTAGACACTTCCTTTAAGAACTGAGGTTACAGGCTTTCAGGTCCACAGGACTTTTCAACATTAAGATACGTTAGTATTTCCATTCCCTTTTCACTTGTGATAATTATTGTTTTAAGTTACTCTTTCCTTTTGTTCTTTACAAATATTCTTGGAATGCTTATTGTGTATTCAGCTCTGAAGACCAATAGCAAATATCTGTTCAAAGCCTCTGCCATTTCCTCATTATTAATTCCCCAGTCTTACTCTTTAAGGAATCAGTGGCCACTTTAGCTATTGTTCCTCTTTATTACACTTGTGGATGCTTTCACTGTCTGTAATGTGTATCTCACTCCCAATTTCTCCCCTTTTTTTATATAAAATCTTGCTTTGCAAGTTTCTTAAGATTTCCCAATCTCTGGCCAGTCACACCCTTTCTTTCAATTTGTAACCACCTTTAACTTCCTTAGTTAGCCCTGGATTGTGCATTTTTCAAGTGGAGTCTTTCTTCTTCAGTGGAGTATACCTTTGTTAAGAGTTATGAAATATCTTCTTAAATGTCTGCCAATGCTTTTTTTTTAACCAGCTTACATATTGTGTCCCCACCCCAATTTCCTCAATTCACTTAGTCAATCAACAACAAACAGCAAGTGCTTGAAAAGCTCAGCAGGTCTAGCAGCATCTGTGGAGAGAAAACAGAGTTAACATTTTAGGTCTGGTGACCCTTCCTTGGAGGGTCCTCTCTCCACAGACGCTGCCAGACCTGCCGAGCTTTTCCAGCAATTTCTGCTTTTGTTTCTGATTTACAACATCCGCAGTTCCTTTGCTTTTTACCGTCTTCTTATCCTTGTAATTGCAGTTACGTTTAGGACACTAATTATAGACAAATATTTCTCACTCGCAAACTGAATGTGAAATTCTATCATGTTATGATCATTCTCACCTAAGAGGATTTTTTACTGTAAAGGCACTAACAAATTCTTTCTCAGGTTTAAAATAGCCTGTTCCCTATTAGGTTACAGAATGAGTTCTGAAGAAGGGTCACTCAACATGAAACGTTAACTCTGATTTCTCTCCACGGATGCTGCCAGACCTACTGAGCTTTCCCAGCAATTTCTGTTTCTGTTTCAGGTTACAAAATGTGTTGTTTGAAAACAAACTGTCCTAATACAGAGTACTAACATCCTTCAGGTTATCTTTGCCAATCTGATTTGTCTAATCAATGTGGAGATTAAAGTCACCCATGATTATTGCAGTATCTTTCTTATAGGCTCCCATTGTTTCTTGATTTATATCTGTCCTACCGTATATCTACTTACAGGGGAAACTATAAATTGCTCTGAGCAAAGATTATTTTTCCTTTAATATTTCTTATTTCCAGCCAAATTGTCTCTACATCTTGATCTTCTGAAACATGATATTTATCCTCTGATCTGTTCTTTTATTAACAAAACAACCTCTTCACCGTTTTTCTTCCTGTCCTTCCAGAAATGTCAAATACCTTTGAGTATTCATGTCTGAGCCTTGGTCAACTTGCAACCATGTATCTTTAATGGCTGTCATATCATCTTTACTTTTATTTGTTCAATTGACTGATCCATCTTGTTACACGTGCTATGTATATTCAGAGAAAGAGCATTAAATTTCTGCCTTTTTACTGTTCTTTCCTAATCTGACCATATTTGCATTCTTCTGATTGTGTGTTGTAGCTATCGTTACATTCATCATCACCCTGTTCTGTTTTCCTGTACTATTACTTTGTCCTTTATCTTTGATTTTCCATATCATTATTCACGTCACACATACACACACAAACACACACATACACAACATCTTTCAGGTGAAGGCCATAATAATAATAAATCTCTCATTCCCTTGCTCTGGCTTCTGTCAGTGTCTGAGAATTAAAATCTGTTTTCCCCACGACAGTCTTTCAGCCACATATACAGCTTTGATCTAATTTCTGACTTAGACAGAAATCCACATGTCATGACCTTTCTACTTCTGCATGTTAATTTGGCCCTAGCTGCCCCTTCTCTTCCCGTTGGCAGAACTTCTTTTCTTGCACCAATGTCTT